ACCCCTGGTTGATTAATAGGGAGGTGTCCCCTTGTAGTGGTTGGATTCAGACCACTTTTGGAGGCAACACCCCCCTAATACTGGGACGGGTTTATTCATCATGGGTCAACATTATGGTATTGACTTGACTTGATTCTCAATTCAGGTAACTTAATCCCAATTTCGATTTTGACTTTGATTTTAATGAATGTTCTTTGTGTCGGGTATTTGGGTGGAATTGATTTGCTTAGCATTGATTGCCAAGAGCTACGAACACAATGACGGGGCTTTGCATTGGTGGGACAAATCACCCTTTCCCTGATACCTACCAGTGGTTGATTCCCGTCCAAGCATGATAAGTCCACATCACAGAAGGTGCTGGCAACCTCAAACCCGATTTCCCGCATAACAGGTCCAGGTCTTTGCAAACACCTGGAAAGACCCAACACAAGCGACAAACAGCTGCCGATTGGCACAAGGAGTTTGGTTCTTGAGGGAAACCAAAAGAAACCCAAAGAAAACGGCACATCACTCCCCTTGGCCATGGTCGTACCATTCTCAGCTTCTCATTTCAGGGGGTGGTTCAAGGGAACTGATTTTGACCTAGGCGGTTGATTTCCTGGAACTATTTCCAGTGGGGAACCAGGAAACCCCGCAATTTGTCACGGTGTGTGGTTGGTGCACTTGCATTTTTTGGATCCGCAGTACATAGAAACAAAATAGGTCCCGCCGAATGCGGGCCAGCCATACCTTACCGTATTTCGCCATTCAATCAAGGCGACATTGTCTAGATGTACGGTACAATTGGAAAATTGGAACAGGTGACCAAAGACAGCATGGAACATTTTGACCGAACCTCACATGAGCACCCGGGATTCATCGACTTTGCCCTCCCCGTTATCACTACTAAACCAGGAAGTAGAACCCCTTCAACTTCCGAAGTTGGCCACCGGGTTTTGGCCCTGCACTTGGTCCCCGGTTCTTTGTGGGTTGCGTGATGATCCCCCCATGTCCTCCCAAACCAATACTAAAGGATCCGCAATTCTTGGATATTCGGCCAATCTAATGATGAGTTCCCCAGCTAAAGTGAGCCCGCTTGTCAGTATCTTGTAGCCATGCTTTTAAACCACTTACTCACTTGCCGAGCACCTAAACTCCGCTTGGGGGACATACAAGTGGGTTCTACCCTACTAATCACTTGCTCACTTGGCCGAACACCAAAGCATCATCACTTGACATGGCGAACACACAATTCTTTTAAAAAAGGCGCCACTGCAAAAAGAGCCACCGTGGTGGGGTTGAGGACGTCCTCCAGGCTGCCATTCCCGACCTGACCATGGCTGTTACCTCAGAGAGCAAAGGTGATCCCACTCACCTCATCCCCAATAGCCGTGAAACAACAACATGGGCACCTTCCTTCGGGTGGTGTCTAAAGGGCACCGGATGTTTGGGCTACCACCCAAACCACTGCCCCCAGGTAGAGCGGAGGAATCAATACAGCCATACACCCTCAAACACCTGGTTTCGTGGTTGCGTACATCAGTTCTGAGCAAAATGGTTCCACGAAGATATCCTTCATCTACCTCAAAACCAAGACCCCCGGTCCATGCAATGAGGTGGACAAGCTATTCCCCTACAAATCAACATGGAACCCAACAAGCCTCCTTCACAGGGAGCTCTGTTTTTTGGTTGCTCTTTTGGGGGGGTTCCATGTGAATTTGCAAGCGAGTAATTACCCTCCCTCCAAACAAGCCTCTTGTCTTGGAGGGAAATGGTCCAAGCCACCGCCAGCCAGGGTCCGTGTTGTGAGCAAATCACAAAAAGGCTCACTAACTGCAATGAAGGAATCCCCCACAAACCCAAGGAACTCAGTTGGAATCTGCAACCATTATCAGGATTCTAGGCCTAAATATGTTTAGTCAAAGCAGCGCATGCTCCCTTTTCCTCTATCGATGCCACGGTCACGACTCCATGTTCAAGAGGTCTCGGCTGATATGAAAGGGTTCGTTAAATGTTGAATTTGATAAATCCGGGTCCCTCCTGGGACCGTGACCAGCACAAGCCCCTGACTACCTACATCACGGGTGAGCTTGTTTTGCCCCCACGCAAGAGCTCGCTACATTTCGTGCAACTCGCTTGGGAAATGATTCAACATGAACACCACCGTGGAAAGGAACATGAAGACCCCAAGGAAGAAGCCTGAAATAAGCAGAAACCAACCAGAAGCCCAAGAGAAGCAACATCCCAACCAATGCAAAAACAAATGCACGAAACAGACGGACCAACCTAGTAATTGAAACCAAATAATCACCAACCCCACACACGGTCTCATCCTCAAAACAAATGCAACACAACAAGCAGGCACATACCAAAAGCAACCACCAAAAACAACCACAACCAAAGCCAACCCAACTCAACCCCTCCCCCCCGCCCCACCACCCCCCCATTACCCCCCACCACCCCCCACCACCCCCCCACCATCCCCCCACCCCTCCCGCCCGGTTCTCTCCAGGCCACTGCCCCAGGCCAAGACCTCCAGGCGCTCCGTGACCACCAAGCTGTGGGCGCCCCCCGCCGCCACGCGGCAGAAGCGGTGCAGCGAAAGCTCCATCGGAGACTACGAATTCGCCGAATCCGCGGAGTCGGAGATACGCCCGCGGGGACTTTTTTGGAAGCTATAGCCGGCGCGTCTTCTCTTTTGTTGGGACAAGTTCGTTTGCTGTTTGTCCTTTTCGTTTCAAGTGGAGCTGCCTGTGGATAGGATTGAAGTATGAGAGTTGGTCAGTTGGTACATTATCAAAAGTTGTGTGAATGCAAATAAGTCTCCAATTTAAAATAAGCGATCCCTACTAATAAAGGAACCGAGGTCGCAAACCTCTTTGCAAGGTCCCCACACTTTGCCCAGAATGATGCCTGCCATAAAAAGCTTTCTCCCCACAGTCGGGACACCAATCATAGACTGGCAAGCAGAAGGCGGTCAAAGCACCCTAACAAGACGCAGAAGAAATATGTCAATGTGAGTGCGGTTATTGTTTAGTTTCTTACATGGGGGTTGACCAAAGGTCCTTCACATGGGATGATATGATGACGAAGGGTGAAACCACAAAGACGAGATGTCAACCGCTCAATGGGAGAGGTTACCACCGATTGATCAACCCCCGCATTTTGGTTTGGGGGGACTGGACTTGGACACCCTTCCATGAGGCTCAACCCGTCGGCCACCTTTGAGCCGGCTGGAGCGAGGTGACATGGCCATGGTCTTCTTTGAGCCTCGGCTCTTTCTACCAAGGGTGCAAGGCGGGTACCGAAAGGGAAACACACAAAATCCTTTTTTGGGGTAAACACATGTGTTATGCCCAACATTTGCCATACCCTCCATGGACACGAATCAATAAGGGCTCGTCCTCTGGGGAAAATTCCGCGAGTCCATGACCCGAACACCGAGTCGATAGGCAACACAGAATATGTTGACCTCCATTTGCGAAAGCCCCCTGAAAGAAAAAAAACAGGGGCATATTTCCAGTCATAGATTTCCCTTCAACCCAAGAAACTCTCATAGGATGTAGATCGAGTCTGGGCCTCGGGTGCCTAAACTAGTCACTGATACCCATGGATATGAGGGGATGGCAGCATGTAGGTGTCTCAGCCCTCCGATCAATCATGTGTCCACGCCAATAAGAGGGGGTAGGAAATTACCTTGTCTCACACATGTGTTCTTAGGTACAGGAGATATCATATTTTCCACATCAAGGCCGCGCGCTCCCGGCCCTCCGAACCGGAATTAAGTAATTGTAAACCCAGGTTAAAGCCCACTCATAAGTCCCCATTTGGTTGCCAAATGAGTGAGAACCAAGGTTACGAAGCACGCACCAACTTGGGCGGTCCAAATATGTCGCTGAATGTCTGTGTCCCTCAACCCATCTAACAGGGGTGTCCTCCTGTTCTCGGACTCACAGCCTCAAGCAAGTTACTAAGGACCCATGTCTTCCAAGGACTTCCAGGGGTCTCCAAATGCTGTCCAAACCTGCCGAAAAGAGATGCGAGCGTAAACTATTCGAGTGGTTCGCCAAGAGTAGCTGAGGAACTTGGGCAGTCTCAACCTTTGGCTTTTGTGGTTGACAGGCAGAACACAACTTCAACCCTTCTTTGGCTCATGCTTAGTGAATTCCCACCAAACCTGACCTTGCCGCGTGGCCCAAAAACACCGAGCCCTTTTTGGGCTTGACCATTTTAGTCCCAAACGCCCAAACCCAAGGCACTGTCAAGAGTGAACTGGGAGCGGGAGATTCTCGGCCCAGTGGAGTTCCACAAAAAGGCGGCAACAAGGCGGCGACCCTTTTTTTAATAGTTGTGCCTGCCTCCGGGACCCCCCCCATGGAGTGACTTTTATTGGTTGAGGAAAGCCGGGCTCTGGGCAACTGTGAGGGAATAAACTTAGCACGGCCCGACAGTTAACCCTGGAACCCCAAAAAACCGACAGGAACATACATTGCATAAGTATTACACAAGCTACACCAGACCAGACTCCAACAAGAAAATATGCACTTGTGTGTGAACATCTCGCCCTCCCTGCTCGAAGTTAGAACCCCTATAGCCTTCAGCTTCGCCTTACACCATAGTTGTATAATAATATACTGTATAATATTATGTGCGTGCTGCCTTGTGAAAAGAGCGCACATGTGGCAATCATGTACACATATATATATATATAAACACCAAACGCCTTAGCAAACGACCGTTTCGGGGTTGCCCTGTGCAACAAATGGCACACCCACTCAGCAAACTCACGCTTGCACCAGCAGAAAACCCAGAGCAGGCCACGTTGGGTTGAGGCAGCCTACAGGCCTCAAGAACGAGCTCCCCACACGTCTACATCACAAGGGACACGTCTGTGACAACGGCCGCAAAAGGTGATGATTGAAACCGCCCGAGAAAAAAACACTAGTTTTGAACCTATGCAACTCGACCTCTGGTGTGCCCACGCGAGTCTAGGTTTCGACTCGAATCTCAATTCGACCAGCCTGGCTATCGGGCATGGGGATGAAGCGCTTCATCTGATTGGGAATCAGCCCATCTTCATCCGTGAAGTACCGGCCGAAGCCGTTGCGCGCCAGCCTGGGCCAGGTCCAGCGAGTCTTCCGAAAAATACAAACAAGGAAAACAAACGCACGGGGGGGGGGGAACGAGACCTTTTGGCTGCCGCTTGTGATGCTCTTGGGGGAGCCCCCTTGAAAGCGCTGTTGCAGGGATGGGGCCCATCCCGCCCATGGTATCGCCCATGGTATCGCCCATCATATTGCAGTATCGGCGATTTGCTCCCCAAATGCTTCCAGGTGCCTCAGGGGATTCAACGCAACGGAAATGTGACCAAATAGGGGCGACCTACAACAATGGCTTCAACATCCTTTAAAGAAGATACATGATGCCACTGAGACGATTCAAAAAGGCGCCTGCTTGGACGATCTATCAGCCGCAAACGCCCATCCTGAGACCAACACACTAGCTCACGAGCTTTTGGAGTCGCACGTGAAAATTATTGCCCGCTCCTTTTGCCGCAATGTTTCTTTGGTTGCCAAAGAAAAACAAATGAAAAAAACACCTACCATGTTTTTTGGGATGCTGTTCGCCCCCGACGTGAAAAGGCACCAGCAAAGCCAACTCGATCACTTCAGTGTTTTGTCTCGTCCGCGTCCGGAACCAATCGCTAGACCGCAACTGTATCCGAAGCTCACACGATTAGCCGAGTGGATGCCTCCGGTGCATCCCACAAATCCGGGCAGATGGAGAGAACCAAATTGCAAAAGATTCAAAGAGGACGTGGCAAATTTGGTGCGGCTTGGTTTTCGCTGCTCTTTTTCGAGGGTCGCACAAATGTTGTTCCAGGTCAAATGCCCCAGGGAGCTTGTTTCGAAAGTAGTTTCATCATACTTTCACGAGGGGGGTTAGCCGAAGCATAGGAAACCCCGTGGATTCCACCCATTGCCATCTTATACTTGTCTTCAGGGAAACTCCAGAGCAGAATCTCGCTTGCCCAAAGGTTCAAAGGTCGATTTGCGTTCCAAGACTTACGATTCTTGAAGGCAGGCCGAAAGAAAACCAACCACCTAGGCCCATTTTTTGACGCACCTATCCTTGCCCCAAACGCCAAGAGGCAGTGGGGGACAATGCAACTTTGCTTGGAGTACTTGAGTTTAAGGGGGACCCCTCTCGCGCCACAAGAGGAAACAGGCACACAGGTCTGGGTGCGTCAGAAAAGGCGTCCTGGCAGGACAAATTGCGTCACAACCAGCAAGGATGATAGCAATCAAAGGATCGTCGTCGTGGGTGATCACGTCGCCCCCCTGTCAGGTGAGTCACAAAAAAACAAATCCATGGAAAGAATCAACAGAGAACACATCTGCACATACTTTTCTGGCTGGGACTGCCATTACGAGCCTTCACAATCCCGCTTGTGATTTGTGATTCAGGTTTTGCTCGTGACTTCGTTTGAGGGTGTCTTCTTTAGGACATATGGCTGACCTTTAAAACGAAAAAACGTTGCGGGCACCACCTCCAAAAGGAACGCACCCATCCGCGCTGAGGCCTGCGCCCCTCCTGTGCGCCATACTTGAAGGGGGCATCGATGGGCTTCCGCCGCAAGGGCAACCCCTCAGGTTGCACCGAGCAGTTGGAGCAAGGCTCCCCTCAAAATTCCAGTTGCAACCAGTGAGGGTGTCCCCTTTTGAGGGACCCATTTGTTTATTTGTTTGGGGGGTTGTAAAGGGACATCAAAAGCAACACCATGAACCTGGTACCCGAAAAGAAGATACATATTTGTTTCTCCAGCAGCTGAAAGCTATGGCGTCGATGGGCCCAGATAGGCTCTGGAGTGGTGAAAGGAGCGGGCGTAGGCTAGGGTTCCGACAGGGTGCCGGATCCCGATTGCTGTTGCGGATACCGCTTGGGCTTATTTGGGGGTTGATCTATATTCCCGGCCTCCACATGCTCATGGGTCCTTTTGCGATTTAGGGATCATTTTCGTGGTTTGCCCCAATGATCATCCCACGCAACGGACCTTCTTGATCAACCCATTTGGCTGTGGATCAAAAATGGGTACCCAAAATGGAACCAACAAGGCTACCATAATACTTGGCGGGAATTAGGACCCCAGCAAAAAATGATAGGGAACCCCAAAAAATAAAAAAGATAAAGAAGGGACCAATTCTGGGGAAGAACAGAAGATAAGCCGCCCATGTGGGTGGCTTGTCCTTTCTGAGGCTCGGTTCCCTTTTGGGATGGGAAGCCAAAGCGAAGCCTCCTCTTTGGGGGGTTTCACTTTGAGACAATCCCTGGTTTGGCATTTCAAAGCGAAGCCAGAAGTGGAAGACACTCCAAGGGGCAAAGCACCACCCCGTCAAGAACCCCGCCGGCTCATTGGGGTGCAGAAAACCTTTTCTGACGTGGATGGCACAGAGAAAGCCATGGAAAGACGATCATGGCTGAGGAACCGGTTCCGTATCCCATTTGGCATACCCAAACTACTCGAACTCAACTAACACCAAGGTCACCTATGCTTCCTCCCACTAGCATCTGTGGGGTCGAGTTCCTCTTGAAGGGATCATCTGTCAGGTGTCATGGCAAAGTGAGAGGAGAAGCGTCTGGGCATAGCATCACAGTCCTTGAATTCGGTGAGCTCGCTGTATTCGCCCGCAAAAATATGGGTGAGTCTTTTTGTAGAGAACCCAAAATGGTGGTTTCCTTTCAGTTTTCCTTCATACAAACCCACAAAAATGGGGTACCCTCAAACCAAGACACGCTCATACGTGGAACAATGCTCGCAAATGGTCAACTTGCACTGAGGCATTGCCTTTCCACTCTTGCGATGGTTGAAAACGGACATCCCAAACAATTATTCTCTCGAAAGGAGCTTAACGGTTCCCTACACACTGGGGGAGACCCCAACCCCAGCAGGAAGTTGCAACCCGCTTCTTGCAACTGGGAGGCAAGCTATATACTTTCACACCAAGCAGTCAGAGGGTTTCCCACACCTGCTTGCAATACTCATAGTGGTTGTATATCATGGGATCAAAATGGTGCTTTCCCTTTTGGTTGCCCTTTAAGCCAACCTCAAAAGTTGAAAAGGGTACGTGTTTTCCTCTTTGGCTTCCCCTTAAAGCAACCTGAAAAGAAAACAGGCACATAAAACACACACCCAAAACTTGCTGGAGCTCAGCAGGGAATGAGGGAACCCCTACAAACCATCCAACTGGCTTCCTTCCAGGGGAACCCAAAACGGTTCATTCTCCCCCAAAAAAAAGGCGGAAGGTCATTCATTCCCCACCTATCCTAGGTCCAGTTAGTAGAGAGGCTAGAATAAGGGTACCTTTTTTTTCTGCGGTCGATTTTAGTAGGGGAACCCTCCCAAGCAAAAAGAAACGGCCAAAGTTGGCACCATTGGGGGACCTACTGTGGATGGACGAAATCCTGCACCACTTTGAAACCATGGGAAACCATTGTTTGTTGGTATTTACAGGGGAATCGAATCATTCCAGGCTTCTGAACGGTGGTGCGAGACGGATTTCGCAACCATCCACAGTAGTTTAGAATAAGGGTACCCTTTTTCTGTAGTCTATTGAGGAACTCTCCCAACCAAAAAAGAAACGGTAGAAGTTGGCACCTAGCTTGGGGACCGACTGATCGCACCCGCAAGCCAAAAAGTTGAAGCGAAAAACCTCTTCCAAGAGCTGGGGCGCCGTGAGCTTGTCCGTGAACTTCGCGCTCACCGCGCCCGGCCACTCTGCGGGGGCCTCGGCAGAAGGCTCCGATTTGCGCGCGGCCTGGCGTTTCCACCAGGGAACCGCCAGGTTTCCGCGTTTCCACCAGAAATATGGGTGCGGGTCAAAAACAGGAGCCCAAAATGGAACCCTGCAAGATGGAAACAAAGGCTAAAACCAGAGGTCCCTTGGTGGTTTGATGTTGAGCCCTACCCATATTACTGTTGACATGTTTTCAGGAAATCTCGAGGAGTATGTGAGCATGTCAATGTGTTTTTGAAACTGGTATCGAAGCAATATAGGCAACCAAAGTTTGGAGACACACCCAGGGCGCAGGGGTGCCCTCAAACAGGAGATCCTTCTCCGCGTGCAGGGAAACTGACAGGAAACCGACTGATGTGTGACTGACGAACAATGTGCCTGAGTAAATTACAAAATGTCTTTAACGTATGTCGAATTTGTGGCATGCCCCTTTTCCCTTCCATGAGAAATCCCTTTAAGGCTCCGGCTATGAAGATGTATGTTGGGTCCGTTGAAGCACAGCCACGATCAAAATCCCAGCAACCCAACATCAAAAAAAACAAAAACGGGATGCTCTCAGGGAGCCTTCGGCCGAAAGAAAAAAACAACCTTTGATTCAACTGCCTGACTTCTTGGCCCAAACAAAAATCGGAGCCATGGTCTGCAGGTTTGGGATGCTCTGGTTGTGGAGTCATGGCCGTCAGGCCGTCGTTCCCAACGTTCGTTCCGTTGGAACGAGTAACCTGCAAACAGGGATGACGTCAAAAGAAGGAATCAAGGAGGTTTATTGGGATGTGTCCCTGCGAGGACTTAAAATGGGTTGATTTCAAGTTGTGGTTCACTCCGATTCACTCCGATTCACTCCCACGACCGCCCCCAAAAGAGGAGTTTCTACTGGATGTCTGCTTCCCTCCATCAAACACCTCCACTGTCTGATAGCTACTCTTCTGCAAATTGATGAACCCCAAAGCAGAAGCCATTCATATATGGAAAAAATGGGCGTGCTTTACGGGGACCCCCAAAAATGGTGGCCCCTCTTTTGGTTTCCCTTGAACACCGCAAACAATAGGTATCCTCCAAAAAAGACACTCCCAAATGGAAGGTTCAACGTCAAAACAGCGAGTAGCCAAGAAAAAACAACAACAAGCAAGTTAAGAACAAAGGACAAGCAACAGATAGCTATTCAACAACACTCACCGACTCACCGCTGATGAGCCTGATGAACACCATATCAAATAATCCCAAATAATCCAGTACAGCTATCCATGAGAAGTCTAGCAGACAATGCTCAGAACACATCCGAACACAAGTGCAGCCAGCAGGTTTTGACCATGGCACTTAGGGAAGCCCTTCAGAGGAGTTTCTACACTTGAGCCTTCCCAGAACCAGTGTCAACTTGCTCCCTGAAACCAACCATGCTGGGAATGTGTGTGGATAGGTTTGAGGAAGACCAAATCAATGATCCTTGGAATAATAAATACTTTTTCCACGCACCTCAGCGTGTGGCTGCAACACGTCATAAATTACTCTTGTGGCAACTCGTGCGGTGCCTGTAGCCCCTCTTTTTTAGCCTGAGAGCGGAGGTTCCGAGCACCAGTCGTCCAATTCAAGCAACAAAGCCGAAAGGGGTCCGTAGCTCCTTCGTTTTCAGCCATCAATCCGATACCAAATGGGCACACTCAAATCAGATCGACTCGAGGGCCCTTCAGCCCTTAGCCCGCGGCTGTGCTGGGCTTCATGGGTGTTCGGCCGCTTGCTGAAAGAGCCAGTGATCTTTGGGGGTTCCTCTTGAAGTTTGTTGAAGGGAGCCTGTACCCTAACCCAGGTGCGTGGAGGGAAGCCTTTGCCAGGCTGCCAGTTCGTCTTGACTCTCTGCCACATCCTTTTTGTGCTGGTTGCTCGGACTTTTGATGGTGGACCCCAAAAATGATCCGCTTTGAACTGTCAAAGGGGGTACAGTCAGTATAGTTGTCCAAGCACAAGTTAGGAGGGTACAACTGGTTGGAGGTTCTTAGAGTCATCGATCTACCTGAAGCCTACTGCTGAGCCTGACGCATGCGGTATGATCGGCAGTGACCCTCAATCCCTTCAAGCAGCCTTTTGCTCTAAAAGAAACCAACACGAAGGGAAGCCCAACACTCATGCTGTACCTTGCAGCGTTTTTCAGTCGATCTGCAGGTATGTTCCAGCAACTCGTGCAAGTATGATCACCACCAGCATCACCTTACCACTGGAATGACGGGGTTTAACATGGGGGCTAGGGTTGATTCAGGGCCGCTTATGCCGCATTGAGATGCCATGGGCTCAAGGTTGGTGTGTGGGGTGAGGACTGGTGGGTTGCCTTGGAGTTGGCTTGGGGCGTCAGGGTGGACTGAGGGTGGGATTGAGCTGGTTCAAGGGTGGGAGTCTGCTGGGTGCAGGGCCAATCTTAGGCTTGAGGCGGGAGAAGACCAGAAAAAGCCGCAAAAGCTCCCAAGAGCCACCACAAAACGCAAGGAAATCAATATGGCAAGCAATGACACAGGGCGACACGGGGCTCCCCTATATTTCCCCTTGAAACATCACCCCCACCAAGGGACACTCACCTTTCATGGGCCGAAAAGGTGATGTTTAAAATTGCCAAAATGGGAACCATAGGGACCCCTGTGACAAGCCCCGCAAGTTGAAGCCAATCTTCCCAAAACGCGGACCGAAATCAGGAAAATCTTCCCAGAGGGAAATCAGCTTTACCCAAACCGAACCATACAATTCGACAAGTTGTCGACAGGCCCCTCTTTTATATTCATCTGTGACCCAAATCACTAAGCAGCGGGAAAGCCCTTGTGCATTTAAAAAAAAAAAAAGCCGCGCAGGGCTTGCAGTTCGAAAACACCACCACGGAAGGACACGAAATGTTGATGTTTGAGTGCACCTTTCCAAGGGAAATCAAGTTGGAACTCTCCCTTGCAACTCCATCTACCACTGACTTACCACAAAGACATGCCACACTTTCACTGATCTTGTTCCAGGATAGGCTGGGGGTGTCCCAAGGGATTGGGATCATGCCATGCCCAAGGGACAAAAGGCAAGAAGGCCAATACATAATTCAGTTGCCCCTTAGGGACCTGGACATAAAAGGTGATCACCTGGGCCATGACTAAAAAGTGGACGATGGGAAAAGCAAAAGGTCAGATCGGTCAGATCCCGTCGATTCGCTTTGGACAAGTGCATTGGTTCCCCGGCTCGAAAGGCACCATGAGACACAAGTATTACATAAAGGGTTGAGTAACTAAGTAAACCCACTTAGGGCATTAGGGTCCCTGAGAAAACAGCACGCACAACCCCTAAACATAGGTCAACCAAGTAACCGCTAATTAGTGTTAAGCAGGGATCCTTACATTGTACACCTGAACATTGCAACTTGTAAATGGTGGTTTCCAACTTTATTTGTGTGGCAAAAGCCATGTTTCAAATGGTGGCAAAATGTATCTTTTAAGGAGCCCTGGTACATATGAATGGACACTTGGGATACCAACTACAACAGGTCATCATGGGAAAAGTAACTCGAGTGATCCAGCAACCCCTGCAAGAAACCAAAAGGTCAGACCCGGTCGAGTTGCGCTTGAAGCAGATCTGCTCGGATTGAACCCTTGGATCGAACTTCCCAAATTCATGGTTGTTGTTGGTAACATTTTACATTTTTGCTTATTGTAGTTTAGTGGGAAATCTCCACTTAACTGCTAAAATTTGAGTTGTCGCTCCCCTTCCAACGTCAACCAAACATCTTCGTATGGTAAGGAAGCACTGTGCTTCTTTTACCCCTGCCAACTGAACGTGAACAGAACCAAGCATCGAAACACCCAAAACACACGTGCAAAGAGCAGTGAAGTGAACGAGGAGAGTGCCAATTTAAGGCCGTTCCTTCGCTTTTGGAAGACCAACAAACAATCCCTGAGATTTTGGCTTCCAGGCAGTGCCCGAAAAAATTGTCTGCCATTCCGAGAGGTACACCAACCTTCACAGACCCACCCTTTCTTGGCTGTCACCCTCCACACGAACGTTATGACACAGCAGGGAAACCGGAACCGCTGGATGCCCGGGTGCCTGGGTTTATTGCCCCCCAACCATCCTCCTGTTCTGGGGTCTCCACTGCTCAAACTTTTGAGGAATTCTCGCGTCGCGTCGCGTCGCGTCGCGTGGCGTCGCTTGGCTTCGAGGAGCTTGTTGTTCTGTGCCGCAGCCACGGCGGGCCCATTCACTGGGCTGTTCAACGTGGGAGCTGGCTTAATCCGATTTCAATAACTCCTACTTGGGACGGTGTTGAGATCGCTAATTGCTTTGTATACCTAGTTATAAGGATTAGCAGGCCTTCCACAGGGTTTCAGTGTGGGGTCAGTGGAAAGGTCAACTGGGGCAAAGCTAACCTGCTAACTCCTTACTAGGGAACATCACAAAGGGCAACGCAAGACCCCCATAGTTTGGAGGTTCCGAGGCTGTTGTCTAGCGGGTCCAAGGGACCATGATCAATTCCTTTGCACATTGAACAGCCCATCGACTATCAAAGGAGTCGAGCGCGGCGATTTGGAACCCAAGGGGATCCACCAAGAGATTCCGTTGCTGGATGGGTTGATTCCAGTAATTTGCAGGGCAGCGTCAAAACCAGGACTCCTCCCAATGGTTGGCATCGTCACCTTTGTCGGGTGGTCTTGACGGGAAACATGTTCATCACCAATTGAAGCCACTTGCGAGGCGGGATTCCGCGGAATGCGATCAAAGAGAAATTGGGGCTCGCCCCATGGTGATTTGAAGGAACTTTTGTTTGCAGCAAATTGTGGTTCCCCATGTCCCTCACAAATGGACCATTCATTGCCTTTCATATTCGTTGACCAATTATATTCCAACATCTGCCATAAAGCAGCATCTCAGCATAAGATCTGCAGGCCCTAAAGTTCGGTTGACCTTCGACCGGTCCAACGCACATTGCCAAAAGTGAATCATGCCCTTTCGCTGGCTAGATGGGAACTGGTCACGCCAGCAAATCATGGTGGTTTCAACGAGTCCAGCTTTGCCAGTCGAGCTCCTGGCAGCGCATTCATCAGGTCTTGTGGATTCCAGAGAGGAAAACTGTCCAACCTTTGGTGTGGTAACAAACTTTGTCTTTTGCAGCTCCTTGCTAAAAAAAAACAGAACCAAAGAAAACAACAACAACCACATGCCACCACCAGTGACGGAAAAAACACGGGCCGCGTTACTTGTTGCTCGAGCTTAAAAAGGGAACTCCTTGCGGAGCAAGAGCTACTGGGCAACTGGGGCTTTCAGGTGGCTTCGTTGAGGTGAAGGTGTGGCTTTGGCGACGCATGTGGCAAATGACCTTTCTGTCCCTTCCAAATTGGACACCTCGTCTCTCTTCTTCTTTTGCTCTCTCTAGCAAGTAGTAGACATCATGGAAAGGCAGTGGTAGGCCAAACCTCAGGCCAACAAGGACCAAGAACTACCTGGATTGCACAGAAGCTGTTGGGAAGGACGCAACATGCGCCAGCAGTGCGTGTTTTGCTGAAAACCATTGATCAAGGGTTGCCATCTGATTGCGATCCCTTGCTTGGTTGCACAGTTGAACATCATGCTTGACCCATCTCGGGCTTGGTATTTTTGCAAGGTTGGTACTTCATCTTGGGATGTTGTTTTGAAGGGGGTTCCTCTCTTTTTTAGTTGGTATAGCCTTTCTTCGAGGTTGGTTTGAAGAGAAAACCAGCTGGGTCTTCTTTTGAGTCTTGACGTAAAAAGGGCCAAGGATGGGAAGCCGCAAAAGTCAGAAGATTGATGAAGGCCTGGCAGGAGTACGACCGATTTGCATTCAACTTCTCCCAAACAAATACACCAGCATAGACCCCAGATAGCATACCACGGCCACGACCGCTGACGCAGCATCCGTGTGGCTCCACCTGCATCATGATGATGTTGACAGCATCATGATGATACTGGCAGCATCATGCTGATACACCAGCCACGAACCTTTACGCCCAAGCCGCGCTACATGTAAGGCAGAGACGACGTCCTGGTGAGTTTGACGGCATCAGGATGGTGCGAACAGCATCAAGATGATGCAAGCCAGCGTCATGATGACACAGCCCCGAATCATGTTGCGACATTGTAGTGAAATTCAGCATCGTCATGATGATGTTGACAGAATCATGGCGCTACATGACCCGCGAACCGTAACGCGGCATCGACATGATTCCAGCCGCATCATGGCATGGTTGGCGCCATCATGATGTTACCACCAGCCACGAAACATTGCAACGACGTCTGAACCCATCAACATGATGATTACGTGGTCAGCATCATGATGATACCACAACCACGAATCAGCACCCCCTAGCAGCCTGCCGTTAATCTCGACAAAATGCCTGCACCAGCACCTCAAACGCACCCTGCCGTCAACCCGCAAAAATGCACCCACACCGTCCTCAGCGCCTCCAACAGCACCTGTGCCAGCACCCCAAACTGCATGCTACCTAGTACCCCAAACAGCACCCCAAAGCAGCAGCACCCCAAGCTGAATGTGTTTCGGCACCTGGCCGTCACTCTCGCAAAAATGCGCCGACACCACCAACAGCAGCTACCCGCCAGCACCCCAAACTGCATGCCCCCTAGCACCCTACCGTCAATCTCGCAAATCACTTTCCACTCTTCATTAGAAGTGAGAACCTTTATAGCTTTCAGCTATCTGGGGAAAAAACACACAATTTTCCACAAGGGGGAAGACAGAGTGATCCCATCAAGACGGGGCTCTCGAATGTCAACGACAACCCGTCCCCTCTTTCACCTTACCCCGTGGGGTACCTTCATTTGGCTTCAAAAGGAACTGCGCTTGCAACTCCCTAGCCCCAGATCCAAATCACCGATTCACAATGACTGCAGGCGTCCTTGGCCAGAAGCCCTGGATCAACCTCCGCAGCCCCCCCCCAAACCGCGCGCCATCGCTTCCCGCCGAACGCCGCCGAAGATCGGCGCCGAAGACTGTTGGCCTCATCCCTCGCGCCGGGGGCTGAGCATGCCGCGCCTCGGCTTTGTGGCGAACGCGATGCGCGGTGGAGGGTTCTTTAAGTGGGAATTGGACCCGTAAATTGGTCTGTTCCTGTTCAAAACCGTCACAAAGAGGGTCAAAGATTCGGATGGGTTTTTGTTGGCACCCCAGTTTGCCAGGATCAGTGTGTAGGTCAACTTGACGTGGCCCTGGTGGAACAAACTGGATCCCGGGGTCGATTCCATTCTTGTGAACCCGACACAAGGATTTGAAAGGTGGAATCCACGAGACAATGAACACCCAAAGGCTCGCCGGTTTGACTATGGCTTGGGAACATCCCTGGGAAGATCCAACCGGCAGGCGGTTGACAGCCATAGCAAGGGGAACCCTCAGGTGATTCGCCGTAATGGTTCGTGGTTGTTTCTTTCTATGGCTGTGAAACACACAAAAACAAGCACCCTTGGTTTTGGTTTGCCCTTGCCAAGTTTATCGCGGAACTTCCTATAACTAGATGGCTTCGATGAACTAGTAACTAGGCTTGATCCCCATGCCCAGTCATGGTCCCACAAGGGTGGCAAGGAAGCCAATGCGAGGCGCACTCGCTCAAGCGCTTCAATTGCAGGATACTGAAAATGGAACCAATTGCTTCCATAGTCCCGGTAGCTTCCATGGAATCGCCTACGGTACCCACGACCATCCTCTTGAAAAGGCCGCAAACGTCCAGTTCCAGGATTGTTGGAAACATAATGTTTCGCGATGATTCAATGCTAAAGCTACGTAGAATTGAGTCTGTGTTGATAAATGAAACCAGGATAGTTTAACCCATCATTTTTGGTCAGACAGGCCACGATGATAGGATTGCATGAAATCGCCAATGGACTGACCATCTGTCACGTCTGGTCAACTTTCACCCTTCACCTGGTTTCATAGGGTCTCCACTTCACCAGTTAAGGTCCAGGGTAGGGATAGTTCCATGCTTAGGGCGTAGGGGGTAAATATTATCCTATCACGGAGGCGGCAGAACTCCTCCCTCATTTCCACAAACCACCGGAAACCATTCGCGGGGTCGGTGGTCCATGACCATCAGTCCGTGAAGGCAACTCGGCTGATGGAATGGACTTATCCCTAGCGGAGTGCGCGGATAGTGTTGTGTTGTGAACAAGAGCGTTTGACGCTAGAAAGACTCCCGTTTTTGGTGAAGGGAAGCCAACCCAACAAATTAAGCGAACAGGGCGGTCACCTGAAGGTCTGGGCCAGGTACAAAAGAAAGCCCAGTATGAATCGCTTCAACCCAAGAAAAAGCCTTGAGCCATCGCCTTACGCCAAACAAAAATCCTTGCAATCATGGTGGTTGGGTGCACCAACTATCACCACGGACCACATGTATACTCAACGCGCTACCTCTGACCCCCCAATTTTTGGAGTCCATCTTAACTTGCGGGGAAGGGTCCATGTTCCGAACCCTCCAAGCGTTTTCTTCAAGCATTTTGCTTTGCTCCAAGGACCCCGCCAGCGGCGGACGTTGGAATGCCCACGAAGCCGTACCATCTCTTGCCTCGCCGGAGGCATCTGAGGCTCCCAACAAAATCAATTTGAAGCCCACTGGGGCCGAAGAGGGATTTACTTGGAGATTGATATATTTCTCCAGTTGATGCCCCTAAGCTGGCAAGCTGTACGGATTTGTTGGCCTGAGGGGACTTATCTAATAGGTCATGTCAACCACTTGCCTGACGGATGGTCAACCAAGTAGGATCTAATAGGACCTGTTAGAGGCCCGTTTTGACTCAGTTGCCCAAAGGACCTGGTAAAGGGTTAACCTTTTGGGGCCATGACTAAAACTGGACTACGACGGGACAACCAAAAGGTCAAAAGGTCGGCTTTGGACACGTGAGAAGAGGACCGTTTCATGCGGGGCCTTATCTCCAAGCCCAAGAGGGCCTAGCGCCCGATAACGTCGACCCCAATGTCCATCATACTTGCGAATTAACAAGGGCTAAGAGGCGGTTGCCCTAAAAGTGAAGGATTCCCCCCATACTGACCCCGCTATAAAGGCCTTGAGATGGAACAAAATCTTGAAGGTAGTGTTTCCGAGTTGGTTTGGATTGGATGGCTTCGGAAGGAACCACCTCTTGGGAGCGAGCTTTGAGATGTATCAGGATCTTGAAGGTGGCTTGGATTGGCTTCGGACTGGGAACCCGCCTCTTGAAGCACGGGGAACCACCAAACCTCCACTTGGTTGCGAAATCTGCTCCCCTGCTAAAAGTTCAACTTTTAGTGGTTCAATGGGAAACCCATTAGTTGGCCAAAAGTTAAAGTCCTAACATCCCTTGGCAAAATGCACCACACTAGGTCCTCCAGCAGAGAGGTTAGAATAAGTTGGTACCAACTTTTTGCTGTAGTCTGTTTTAGTCGGGAAACCCTCCCCCAAAAAAGAAACGGTGAGAAAGGGCACTACTGGTAGACCTAGTCCAAATCCCCAGCTCCGCGCGCGCCTCAAGGCCTCCGCGTCCGGCGTCTCCGGGCTCGAGGCCTCTAAATCCAGGTGCTCCTGGCTCGGCCGAGGACCCGCGTGGCCTTCGGCAACGCGGCAACCTAAACGGCATGGGCGGGCAACTTTTGGCAACCCTACCAAAAACAATCAGAACCCAAAAACAAAGTTGTTGGCAACCCGGATCTAAAAACGAACAGAGCCAAACAAGAATGTGTGGCAACCCGCATCTAAGAACGAACAGAACAAAAAAACAACTTGAAAACCGAATCACATGCCAACAACAGTGAAGTTCAATAACCCTTTCCCTGCAAAGGGGATGGCCATGTGGTGACCCCACTTTTCTTGGGGGCGTTCATGCCTTGCATGGACAACTCTCAGCAAAAGGTCATGGGAGCCGCAAAGCTCACGGGCTGGAAACACCCACCCCGAACTGCTCAAAAGGCTGGCGGGAAATCAAAAAGCTTACTGGAAAATCGCAGTCCGTCCTGGAAGTTTCTTGGATTGCTGACAAAAAGGATTGCTGGCTTAAAAGGATGCCAAAGGGAATGCACTCTCCTGGGGGGCCACGCTTTATTGGAACCCAGCGACTTGGGCTATTTGGTGATAAAGAGACGGGGATTCCCAACCATCATGGTTGGGTTTGCAACCCTTTCCGAAACCCAGCGTTCTGCGTATTGAAAAATCCCTGGCTGATTTCAAGGATCCGAATCCTTGAAGATTGAAGAAGGCATTTCATTTTTGGGATGGATCCCCCCGACGGAGCCTGCACCACCACTAGTTCGCTACTGAAAGGGTAGAGACACCCTTTGTCTTGGAGTTGGTTTGGGGGGCAGCCTTGCCACGCTGTTTCAGGCTGCCTCAATTTGGTGGTTTGGATTGGCCGGTCGCAGGTTTGAACTCCTGGTGCTTTTGGAGGGCAAATGGGAAGCCACGCTCCAAACCAACAATCCGAAGCACCATTTGCAGGGAAGGTGCAATGGTGCAGCACCCAAAACCTATTGAATTTTGGCTCGACCAACATGGTCAACCAGAAAGGTCCAGAAAGGCCTCGCTTTAATCCTGGTTACACCCTGTGCTTGGTTGCTGTGAACCTCTCTGCAAGAAAAAGAAGTCAACTTTTTGCAGGTTCAATGGAACCCTCTTGATTTCCCCCCCCCCCCAAAAAAAAAAGAACGTCTAAAGAGCCAACCCAATAGCAATCGGGAGCGCAGAACCACCTACCACGGGAATTCACCTCCCGTGTCGCCCCGTCGCCCCTTCGCCCCTGAAGCCTCGCGGGTGGGAGCGTGAGTTATCCTCCGCTCCGCCATGGCAGGGATGCGCTGGTCCATGATGCGCTGGTACCTGCGCACGATTTTTTGTTTCCCCCTTTTTTTTTGGGGCGCGCGAAAAAAACGGCCAGGTGGAGGGCCGCCCCGGAATCCCACCCGCTGCAACCCGCCCTGAAAGCCACCCCAGAGCTTATTTCTGGCAGAGACCCCATGGCTTTCAGCAGAATGATTGGCACAAACATTTGTCGTTCAGACTGACACCCCGCAAATAGAAACGGCCCAGTGTCTTCCACCAGCTGTAATTGGTGTTTGGTTGTTTGGTTGTTTATGAGCCTTTGTTAGGCAAGCTCTTGCTTGCTTGCTTCCTTGCTTGTTTGCTTGCCTGTTTGCTTGCTTGCTTGTTTGCTTGGCTTGCTTGCTTGCTTGCTTCTTGTTCCACCTTTGACTTGCGTTTGCTCAGCAATTTTCCCTTCAAATTGGTGGACGGTTGCTTGGTGTTTCCCTGATTGCTGGCCCTTACCCTGCTTCTGTTTGCGCCTTTTCCTGTTTGGTGAGCAAATTCCCCTTACACGGTCCTGGACACAAACAGGGTAACCCCGGACCAACACATGTTGCCCCAGTCGTTGCTGCCAACCCGCAAAGGATGCACGTTGGCCAGCTGGCTAAAAAAGCCAGGACACGAATCCTTGCGAAGCAGTGAGTCTTTTGTGTGAATCCCTTAGATAACCCGGTTTTTGTCCTTTCTCTTTCAGTTTCGCTTTCGACTTCTAAAGGAACCCTGTCTTTAATTCGCTCCACTGGTAAACGAGCTACATGGCGAACGCTGTTAATCGCCAGGTGAGCTCGCACAAAAGCACCGGGCAAATCGAACTGCTGGCACAACTAAATACCAACAAACGCCAAGAGGACGCTTCTTTCGGCAAATCTGAACCCAAGGAGATCTTTACCAGCCACGCACATCTCCAACCCTCTGGTCGAACATGTGTGCCGTGGTCCAGGCCAAAGGTGGTCGAAAGGTCTCCCTAGAGGGTCCACTGTCACTTGAAGAGGTAAGTGAATAGCAACCGTGGTTGGAATCAACCGCTGAACGGGAACTTAGTCTCAGTTGCCCAAGGGACCTGGAAATAAAAGGCTAACCTTTTGGGCCATGACTAAAAAAATAGACGACGATGGGAAAACCAAAAGGTCAAAAGGTCGGCTTTGGACAAGTGAGCAGCCCACTCGCCCTACCTCATCCCCACCTTGAGCACCAAACCCACACGTGCACCTCCCCAAAATGTGGACTATGGTGATACTCGTAAAAGCATTATATCACGGTTTAATATTAGGATCTTAGAAGCATTTTACAGTTTTATGATTTGCCTTTCTTTTTCCTTTATTATGTTTATTGTTGTTCTTGTTCTATTGCTTTTCCTTTCTTATTATCTTCTTCTAAAAATCCAAAATGCAATGAAACTAATGGATTAGGAAACGGTCTAAAAACAAGTTATAAAAGATGCAACATTGAATAATTTCTGGAATGTTGATCCTAAAAGCATTTTATCTCTTCCTCATGGTCGATTTCTTTCTAATCTTTGCCTTTTTATTACTTCTTTAATTTGCTTTTTCATGTTGAGATTTCTCTTTCTTTAGGTTTATTCTTCAAGCTATTTTATTATGATCCAATATTAACATCTTAGAATTATTCCTTCCATGCCATTCCTATCTTATGTTTATTGCTTTTCTCTTTCATGTTGTTCAACAAGGTAATTTCAAGGGATAGAAAGACAGGTATTTACTAATCTTAATATTTCTATCTTAATCTCATGCATCATTTCATCCATGTAATTTCCTACATTCTAGATCGGGAAAGTTGGAGAAGTTGACAAATGCCCCTGCAGGGCCCAGGCCAGTCCCTTCCCATGTAAAAGGACGTATGACGGTTTGACTCAAATGGCAAGTGATAAAGTAGTCTTGGGGATGGGGATCCCACATTTTGGTGCAGGTTGATTCTCACACCCAAGAACCATCATCAGGATCCCGGAATGACCCCAGATCCCCCCTCATGGATTCTGTAGGTTCCCATAAAGGGTATCCCCATCATGGCACTCCACAGAAAGTGCCCCCTGCAAAAACATGAATGCTAAAAGTCAGCTGCTTGGCTGAGGTCTTGGATAATGTCAAAGGAGATCGTTCTTGGAGGAATGTGCATGGTGCAGGCTGAGCTACCCACACCACACCACATCGCACCAAGTCACCATTGGAAGCCCAGCATCGCCATGCAAAGTCGCGGCAATAAAGGCCCGCTGTTGCCGTTACCCGAAGTTTTTTTCCTTTGAATCCGCTCCATGGTCCTGGATCATCAGCAAAAGAGATGCGGCGAAAAGAGGCCACTTCTGGTGAGCTGGAGGCCCAGGCGCCGAATCGCGACGAGATTCACGAATCGCAATTCTCTCTTCCTATCTTCACCCAGTTCCAGCTTATCAAAATATATGGATTGTGATGGTGGGTGAATGATAGGTGAATGATAGGCTGTTGACCCGGCAAAGCCACAAGGCAGTCAATTAACCATCAGGAGGCGTCATCTTATCATGGCTTTTCTTGGAGCACCGCGACAAAACAATGCTTTCGGTTACCACACGAGCAGGTGAGCAAATGAAACCACTATTTGGGTATTGCTCGCTTGTTTTTATCAGGCTACCTTTGTTAGGTTGTGTTAAAGGGAACCCAAAAAGAAACCACCATTTCTTGCACCCCTCCTTTAAAGACACATACCCATTTACAGGAGGAAGGGAAAACCTCTGCTAACCTACCAAGCCTCTGGCAGATGATCATCCCCTCAATCTTGCAAGACCAATGACACCCTCGAACAGCGCTCTTCAGACAACCAGAACATGTTTTTCTTCTTCTGCGAATGCACCATATATGAGTCTCCAGCAAACTTGTCAATCTGCTGAAACACTTTGTCCGCCGACACCTCGCCTCTTGGTGGAGGTGCGAACCAGCAAGAAGAGCAGGCAGATGACCACCACATTGATGACTGGCCCAAATGAGGTCTGTCACCCCCTTCGAACCTACGAAGAGATTTGGCCTCGGGCCCGACCCAAACCAAAAATGCGCTTTGTTGGTTGTTTGTTTGTTTGTTTGTTTGTTTGTTTGCTTTTTTTTGGGGGGGGGGCATGTTCCATGCTGGGGTTTCAACTTCAAATAAGCCAACCATTTGGCTCTTCCATGGCTATACGTCACGCAGGTTGCTATGCGTGCCTTTCAAAATTGGTTTTCCTTTTGGCTTCCCCTTATCATCGAGGACCGATTCCTATTCTGAGAAGCACCCTTACCACAACTCCCCCCCGAACCGAAGTAGAACCACCCAAAGTGGAGTCAGGACTCGAGAAGAGCTTCCGGTCTGTCAATCTGCAATGTCAGTGAAATGATATGAGTGCCGGCCCAAATAAGTGTTGCATAAAAACTGTGGCCCCTTTCATCCTTCCAAACAAGTCGGAAAACGATATCAACTGAATCAATACGCACGATCAACACTACCTGTAGTTCATCAACTTTAGATTAGGAGACTGCGGGAGCTCGTTTTGCACCAGGTGAGCTCGCTACAAATACTGCAAACAATTATGCCCACCATGAACACAATAGCACAAGTGTCGGCAGAAACTGATCAAGCAAGACAATTGGTTCTGAGAGTTGGGAGCAGGGCACCCTGCCTTGATGTTTGAGCTAAGCTGAAGCAGCGCAAGTGCAGAGTCAATCATATTTACCCAGACTCCAGTGGGCATTGGGAAGCAAGGGCACTCTTGCTTGGCACCTGTTTCAAAAGGGAAACCCCCACCGAAAAAGGAAAAGAGGTTTGGGCTTATCAACTAGCGCTTGCAGGCACAACCCATCTAATCAATGCGCAAAGTATGCGACAGTTCTGCCCCAGCAAAGCAACCAACCTGTTTAAACTAACCTGTTTGCTTCCAGTTTATATAGGATGATCTTCCCAAGTATGAAGGCCGGAATCTTGGTGGCCTGGGTTACCCATTGCCAAAGTAAGTCGCGGTTGTTTTTGGGCGAGAGGCACCACAACTGACTGTGAGAGGCATTGAATCCTGGCTACAAGATGAGGCCAGATTCTGCTCATGCACAAGCATGCTCGCCTTAGGCGTCCCTTTGGAAAACACAGATGGCACCGGTAGAGTGATTAGAACCCCCTAACTTGCGGGTGCAGTGCTCAGTAGGGAATGAGGGAATGAACCTGAGGTCCCCTTTATGGAAGCCGCAAGAGGATGGTTTATAGGGGTCATTCCCGCGTTCCCTGCTCAGCACCAGAAAGCTAAAGGACACCTGCGACACTCAGTCTCGCTCCCTCCGCGCCTACGAAAACCAAAGTTGTATGTACCTCAGGCGCGACCCACGCGACCCGCGCCGCACTCAGAAAGCTGGCAGCAACTCACAACATAGCTCAAGCTGATGCTAACTATGGACCAGTTTTTGTTGAACCCGTTTTGAAGCTGAGTTCTCTGGCCGAACCAAACCAAGGCGACAATTCAAACGTGCCAAACGACATGGCGCCGTGCTTAAGGCATCCGATTTGGGGTCACCCAGTTGCATCGAATCCTCCGTTAGACGACCTTTTCCGCACTCCGCTCAGCATCGTTCTGGTAACCCTTTCCGTCATACCAACGTGGGTTCAATTCCTATGACAAGTGCATCACTTCAAGGGGGGGGTTGAAATCCTCGGTTGCTTTCTGCTCCCCTGCTAAAAGCTTAACTTTTAGTGGTTTAATGGAAAACCCATTGGTTGGCAAAAAGTTAAAGTCCTAACATCCAAGCAAAATGCACCAAATAATCCTTGGTGTCATGGGGGGGGGGCTTCCCTCAAAGCTGATTCGGATCCCCCGCAATGAATGAACCAGGGCTTCATGAAGCTGGGCAACTTGCTGACGGACACCCAGAACTAATCGCGCCTGGGGGGGGCATTCCATTTAAGAGGGGACCCTTCGAATCATCCATCAAGCTTCACCTTACTCCCCTGCAAGCCGTGCAACCTAAAAAAAGGAGGTGCCTCACCTAGGGTTGGATCATCTGCAGTGTATCTCAGGTCCGAGCAGGCTTCCGAACTTTGCCGGGGCCAACGTCTGGATCGTCCGAGCTCATCCGAAAGGACTCCGCCGAAGCCCCCATCCAGACCTCAGCTTCAAGCCATGCAAAGTGTGGGCCTGTTTACACTTACACCATGGCCCGATTTTGAAGGAACCCTCTCATGTCAAGGGCAATAGTAACTACCTGCCCCAAATATGTAGTCGTATAATGAATTCATAAACTGCTTGTATACCGCATATAGACAGGTTGGTACCCGTCAATTCGAATGGATCCTTGGAGCTTCGAGTCGGAATCGCTTGGGGGCAATTGGCAATTGCCAAATTACTCTACAGACTTTGGAGACCCCTGTTTCTAACCTTGACACCCCTGTCAAGCTGAGCCCAGTACCCCACGTCAAGGCTCCCACATGGACGGCCCCTGCACTTTCCAAAAAACAAATCTACGCCGAAACTCAGCTCAACAGCGACCCCTGGCAGAGTTGGACTCATGCATCCCACATTCACGGACAGCCTGAAAAGCTGCTGAGGAAGATGCTTTTGCTGCATAGAACGCCGGTTGAACAGAAAGGGAAAGCCAATAGAAATCAGGGCTTGAAGTCTGCGCCCCCACCCTTCCCCGCTTTCATAGAATGGCATCCGTTTGAATCAGGAAGGTTTCCAGAAGTTGAGGGAGTCCTTGTAGGGCCAGGGCTCCCAGCGGAACGGACGGGTCTTGACGTTTCTGAAGGTCAACCAAAGGAACACTACATGACTGTGGTTGTCAAAACCGTTTTGGGATCCCATTTTGGGCTAGGCGAATTCACCACCCATTTTAGAACCTATTTTAGTGGGGATTGGGATGTTGGATTTTGACCCATGGCCACATGTTTCTTCACCTGGGTGTTGATTCGTTAGAAACGGCCAACGAAGCATGTCGTCACAACTAACCCTGCAACCCATCCCAGTAAGGTAAGGGATATACATACACCTTTCCACCATCATGGAACTTGGAAAACCATGTTGCTCCCGGTAGATTCTATGTTGTCTGCTACTTGAAATGGAGCATCCCGTGGCGGACGATTTGGCAGTGGAATCCTCTTGCCTAGCTTAGCTGTCCTCCCAGCTTCCCGTCGGCTGAATCTGAGCCCCGCCGCCCAGAAGGCCGTGATGGGCAAGGATCCCAGACCTTCGCGAGGTCGGACGCTAAGGCTCAGAACGTGGATCGCCAGGGAACAAAATGGGCACCCCTTCTCTAAGGCTTGATCCCCCCGTTGGAACTCGATCTCCACTCTTAGAGAAACTGTTCACCCCCTCGTTCCAGAAGAAACTATAGACATTGTAGCTCTTCAACTGAAGCGAAAGACTCAACGCAATTCGAAGTCCAAAGCTTCAAAGGTTGACTTTGGACAACCATTCATGGTGGTCTTGTGTCCATCATCTCACTAGGAAACTAGCTCGGTTTTTGTCCAAACGTACGTTGACTTTGCTTCTTTGAAAAAAAACGGCAAAAACCGAGACGAGGGCATCACGACCGCCCGAAGGAGGTCGAAAGGTGGATCACCTCTGGGTGCAATGGAGTGATTTGCTTGCCGCCGCTGTTCATGGTGGTTACCCCCCCGAAGATGCAAGAACCCGTGCAACGGACTGCTTGTGAAAGAGTTAATTTGCTTGGTTGCAAACGCGTTCTAGGTCCTCCAGTAGAGAGGTAATAAGGGTACCAACGTTTTTTCGTAGTCTATTTTAGTAGGGGAACCCTCCCGCAAAAAAGAAACGGTAAAAGGGCACTACTGGGGGACCTAGTGTTTCTAGCAGGTCCCACTTTTTGGGGGGCCGATGCGGGCACACCAAAGCTTGAGACCAGCCGTGAGAGATCCCATCAGCTCTCTCGCTGGGGGCCCGAGCATCCGATGATGTAGCCCGCCGTGCTCAGGGACGTAATGGAGCAGGCGTAGTTGAAGGCCTCGACGACTTCCGTTTGCAGCTTTGAGCCCCCTGCGAAAATGAGAAAATATGTCCAGTAGTCCAGTAGTGATGAATTATGTCTAAAACCAACAGGGTGAAAGTAACATCAGTTTTGAGCCTGGGAAACATGAGAACATGTGCCCAGCAATAAATTTCATGTCTAAAACCAGCAGGGTGAAAGTCAAATATATTCTTAAACAACTGGACAAAAGGCCAGGGCGTTTTCCCCAGGGCTCCGATATTCCAACCCAAAACATCACTGGGAAAAAATCGCAATGGGCCAAACAGGTGACGTTTAAAACCAAAACGGGATATAGAGGGACCCCCTGTGATCAGTAGAACAGTAATTGGGACCAAACCTGAAAGAATTGTTGGTTGGAGGTTGTTTAAGTCATTTTGTTCTGGCCACGGGACCCAGAAACACACCATGTCCAAGATCATGAGTATATACATAACAATATTAGTGTGCATATGTATATGCATCTGCATATATATATATATATATGTATATATATATATATGTTATCGGCACATATGATTGGCGCCCCCCCCTCCCCCAATGGTGGTTTCAGTTCAACCCCCACCAAAAACGATACCCTCAACAAGACACACCCATAATCACCCAAGTATATGTATATACTGTGTACATATTATATATAAAACACGTATATGGTGGTTTAAAGGACTTGCCGGCTCCTCGTGACTATGCACGCCCTCATTATTTTTAACATGGAACTGCTTTAAGCGACCATCTTGGAATCGTTCCCATCAAGCATTTGCATTGGGACAAGCCGTTGACGGAGGACAAGAGCAGACACATGTCCGAATCAAAGAACACACCCATGATCACGCAACTCCAACAAATAGGCATCATTGAAGCTAGGCACTGCAATGCACATACGCATTTAGCGTTGGTTCCGGCAGGTGTAGCAACCTGAACAACCTCCCAACTCGGCTGTTCCTGGAAATGGTGCGAGTGAAGGGCTGACGAACATACCTACCCCCAAGCGCTCAGGCTTGACCATGGCGCTGTAGAATTAGAGTTCCAAAAGCTGGGAAGCTCTGCTTTCACTTGGTTGACGTTGGAAGGGGAGCAAAGAATGAAACTTTAGCAGTTAAGTGGTTGGATTTCAACCACTAAACCACAACAAGCAAAAATGGGAAACATGTTTCCCAACAAGAACCACGCTGTCCGGGGACTGGTGGATGTGCCGAAGGGAGTTGGCACCTCAGGGCTCCGGTTCGGTAACTTGGGCCCGGATGAAGCCATGCGGGGCAACCCTGCACCCGGCTTCGGGGGGGGGGGGGATAAGGGGGGGTGGGGGGGGGTGGGGAAGGGGGGGGGGATGGGGGGCTAACTACGTAGACGCAACCCTGTATCATGTTTGTTGTTCTGATTCGGTGTGATCGATGTGTATATATATATATATATGTATGCATATACACATGGGGGTATCCAATGTTACTTTTCCTGAAAATCCTCCGTTGCCGGCCTTTCGCGCTCCAATCGCGACCACAGCGGGGCCAATCGCGGATGGTAACTTCTTCCCATCTTACCAGCATGTACATGCTCCCCGAATCGCGGCCCAATCCCCACAGGATTCGCCATGCAGGCTTTACCATTCGCGCACAACTAATAAGTTACATGGAACCCTCGTGTCTTTGGAGGGTCCTGGAAGACTTCTTGCTTTCCTGGGATCAGAAAACTCCGGCGCGGATCAACCGTCAAGCCAGCGTGCCTCCAAGGGAAGTACCGGGCTCATCCGCGCAATCAGCACGAACTTCCAGCCTGGAGTCAGGGGCTTCCCCCTGACCTCAAGTGGCAGGTTTGGTGGACGAACTTGAAAAGACATCCAGTGACCAAACCCTGCTGGACAGACAAAACCCACGAAGTCCAGGCACCTGGTATTCATAGACCTTCGCCCATCCCAGGATTTCGTCCATCAGCGCCGTTTTTTTTTCGGGATGGTCCAAACTCAAGCCTTTGTTTGGGGATGTGTTGCGTGCATTTTCCATAGGGGGTGCTTGATGAATACCCGGGTTGCGCCATATTCCAGTTTTTGCGGGGCCTCATGTATCGGCAGATTTGTGTGGAAGAAAGGGACCAAACGGGGAGTCATAGGAATGACGGGGCTCCCTTTTGAGGAAAATGAAGTTGGGCAAGGCTCCCCCAAGAGGGGGGTTCAAGCAAAGGAGGTCGCCTCAGCTTCCCCAGAGGTGTAGGAGCCAAACACCCGGCATCCTTTCGATTGCTTTTGCACCCCGTGGCCCCAAGGCCACGGAATTTGAAAACGGACGCCTCCGTGCTCTTATGGGCACAAGGGTTTTCCAACCACAAGCGACCCAATGCTCTCCCCAGTTTGGCCGCACATTTGAAGCAACCCCGCCCTAAGATAGACCTTTCGCCTTGGCCGGACAAGGGAGGTGCCCTCCGATTTTGGGGTGCAGGGATCCTTTTTGCTGGGGACTGTACACTCCCCCAGTTGCTCAGGTCCCTTTTTTCAGTCTTGCGGGGAGTAAGTAACTTAGCAGTGGAGCATACCAAGCCCGCGCCAGGGCTGGGCTCGTTGTCCCCCTTAAGGCCATAGTAGGGCCTGTGTTCCCAACCCATGGGCAAGTTCCTGAGTAATCAAAGCATATTCAAACAAGTAGATAATATGGGAGTATGGGCCAAGCGACATGCCAGGCTCCATGCTTTATTGGAAGGGGGCCATTCTGAGCAATAATCTGAAACCTGGCACTATCATGTTACGAGGGAAACCACCCATTCGGAGAATCAAAAGGGCTGTTGTAGCTGCACCAATGTATCGTTGGGGTAGTCTCCAAACCTTCAACTCCCCAGATCTGTTTTTACGGCACTCCGCTATAAATCCACCGAAATGTCTGCTCGATGGGTCCCCAAGGGGCAACCAGCCCTCGGCCCCCGCAACAATCTCGCTGCTTGCTGCTCAATAGGGAAAAGCAGGAAACCCAGAAGAAAGGGAAAACAAAGGACACCCACAAGGGCAGATCAAGACGATTTCCCGCCTTCTTCCTCCACAATGGCATTCAGCACCTGCCGCGTGTCGGTCGGCTTGTGGGCTGGATGGGTGTATCCAGGGCTCCAGCCGCCCAGCTTTGGGCCTGGGGAAGGTCTGATGGGAACTGACGCCTTGGGAAGATGGGTGTCTTTTTTCTTTTTTTGAGGGTGCTTTTGTGGTTTTAAAGGGAACCAAAGCAAGAGAAACACGTCTTCTTCTTCTTTTTTCTGGAGGGGGAAAAAACGACACACCCAGATTGTCCCTTGCAGGCGTCATTATTTCCTGATTCCCAGGAAAGGACAACAAGCAACACCTGGAAATGGCGTGATTTGGCGACTAAAATCGCATATGCAGCCAAAGTTGGGACCATTCCCCATAAGCTCTTGTAGACGGGTCAAAACAAACAGAAACACATGCACAGCATCATACACACATCGTTCTCTGATCTTCACTTGATTTGGTTTTGAAGTACCCTAAGGCTCATGACCTCTCCAATGCAGGGCCCCGGGCCCTCCAATGAAGAACCCAGACCCTTGAAGGGCCCTTGAAAACAACCCATTTTGAGGGCCCAAAAAGAATCGGGAGCCTTAGGGTGGCTCACAACCCCATTCGAATTATTAGGGCCAACATTGCCTAACAAATCCTTCGGAACCGAATCGTCGAGGTCCGGCGCCTCTACCCACTCGAGATGCTGCAGCCTGGGCAAAAGATCTGTCCAAAGGGCCTGCCCCTCGGAGAGTTTCATAGCCAGCCTTGGGAACAAAAGGGCACCCCGTGTTTGTTGCTTGACTCTAAGGGTAAAACTTGGTTGACGTTGGATGGGGAGCAAAATTTAAAGATTGTGGCAGTGAAGTGGTTGGATATTTCAACCACTAAACCACAATAAGATCAAAAATGGGAAACATGGTTTCAACCAACAAACCCTGAAAAGGGTGCCGCTGGGCAGGGCTTCAAAGGTGTGAGCCGACACCTGCGACTCTGAGCAAATCAACCGGAAAACTGCCTGAAGTCTGACAGGGACTTTGTCACAGCCAGGCCGGAGTCCTAGGATAAATAGCCCAAAAACCCACTTGCCTTGCAAGGGAATCCTCACTTGGCGGGTACACATGGACTTTCCAAGGCGGTGGAACCTCAAACTTTGACGAGCGCGGCTGCACCTCTTGGTGATGCAGCGCCGGCAAGCGCAGCGGCCTTTCGGGAACAGGAGCTGAGAGAAGCTTTTTGCCTGGGAGTTCAGGGAAATGCAGAGAGCACCAACCATTTTGGGGGGCCCGAATTTTGAGACACACCCATATCCATATTGCAATACGGCAAACGGGGATCCTCAAGGAAAGACCTACAGCATGGCACGGCAAACTTGTTTTAAACTCGTGAGGTCATGCAATTTACAATCCCGTACCCCTTCTACAGCCCATACAAAGGTTAGTACCCGGGTACAAGGGGGTACCCACCCCCCAGAACAAGATTGATTCTGCTGCCAGGTTCCACTATGGCGGTGCAACAAATCAGGGGTCCTTGGCTTTTGGTCTGGGGGTGCAAGCGCGGCCCCGGAGTTGGAAGGATTCCTCAAGGACTTGTCATGACTCCTGACTCTGACTCCGCTAGGCAGCAAGAACCCCAATCATACTGTGAACGAAATTATGATCCTAAGAATGACATGATTCCCTTGCAACTACCAACAGGCGTTGTGTTTCAACCATGGTTTCATCGCGTGGTGCAAAAAGATTATGTCCATCCACAGCCCGGCATAGCTTCCCAGACTTTGGGGTACAAGTGGGGTTACACCAGTGAGTCGGGGACAAGGCACGATGATAACATGGTCGCTAGACATAAATTCTGATGGAAATTATATCCATGAAATCCAGCCAATCCCTAGTCGTAGTTGGGCTGCATTGGGTATTGAACTCTTGAGTCCTACACCTTGTGCGGCAAACCCAAAATAAAAATAAAAATAATTAATACTGCTACTACTACTACTACTACTACTAATAATAATAATAATAATAATAATAATAATAATAATAATAATAATAATAATAACTATAATAATAATAATAATAATAATAATAATAATAATAATAATAATAATAATAATAAATAAATAAATAAATAATAATAAACAATATATAAATATATGCATTATGACATACACATGTGTGGTTATATATATATATAGACATGGGCAGCATTTTGTTTCCTAAGATGGGGACCCACGAACTGCTTGATGTCCAATCGCCTTCGGTTTACCCAAATGTATCAAGGACTCCACACGATATATTCAAAACAAACAACTGAAGACACAAACACACACACACACACACACACACACTCGCACAGGGGGACCTTCTTTTGGATGCAAAGACAATTCAAGGCCCAACCTTTCTTTTACAGCCCCCTTTTGCTGGCCTTGTACTTGCGCGCATGTCTTTTTATTCTTGGGGGGTTTTGTGGGAATGTGCAAAGAACGAAAGCATGTTGGCTGGCTTCGTGAGCAACGGACAACAATACCAGGCTGTTGGTTTTGGGTTGCAAGCTGACAGGCAATGGGCCTGTCTCAAATTTTGAGCTCCACATGCCACATGAGCCACGGTCAAAATCTGCGGCTTCCTTCAAGGCAACTTGCCGTTTTGGTTTCAGAGCTCTTCCCTTCTCGCCCCTCCCAGGTCCATAGGCTGCATCTGGGCAAGTGTCCAACACTCCTGGGACAGCCGGACCAACACGACGCTCCGGGAGCGGGCCTAGGCTGAAGGCCGCCAGGCCTCCCACCACCAAGCCGCTGAAGGTCGCCAAAGTGCCTCCGCCAAGTGGGGGGTGGCGCTCGTCTCAGGTTGGACATTGCCCCCTCCCCAAATGGATTTCGCGGCTTACGTTTTTGGCCCCCCTTAAAGCCAAGTAAAAAACATGGATGTTGTTGCTCCTTCTTGTTCCCCGGTAAAAGCCACGAAACATGGGGTGAAATTGTAAAAGAAGACACCCCATCTCTACGGGTTTATGCAGCCCACCCCCTTCTTGGGGGAATTTTGAGGCGGGCGGTGGATTTTGTGGGGAAAGTAGTGGTGGTTTTCCATTGCCCGAAGGGTCACGGGACTTGGTTGGGATGGGTTCCCCAAATGCCTGGCTCTTTAGTTCCAATCGGCTGGGGGTTTCATGTGTGTGTATATAATTACGTGTCTTCTTGGTTTCATGAGGGATACTGAGATGGGCAGAGCTGGGAAAAATGAACAAGGAAATCCAGTGTGGTCCCAAATCCTTGTTTTGACAAGCCATACTAGGTGTAATCTACGCCCGGTGGTGAATGGGTCCACCCAATGCAAATAATTGGGCTTTGATTGGATGGAAAAGCTCTTGCACGATGTGGGATGGACAAAGACTGTGAATGCAGGGACAAATCACCCACCAACTGGACTTCGCTTATCCACAGTATCAACCGACAGGAGAACACTCAACGCCAATTCCCCTCAATCTACAAAAGTGACAAGGGATCATCATGACCGACAACCCGGTAAGATTGTCTAGTGCTCAATTGGTATCACCCTTCAAAATCCCCGTCATCTGGAAACATGCCAAGAAAAATTCAAAGGATGGCTTTAGCGGCCGCTCCGCTTGTTTGGCCTTCCCTTTCGGTGTGTGACTGGACCTGGGTCACTTCTCAACCCGGATGTGGGATGTTGCCAGGCGCCAGGACAGTGGCACCGCAGCTGCTCTCAGACTCCGAGTTGCCACCCAAAAAAGAGGAAACCAACCAGCACCCAACCCGTGGTATGCGTAGCAAACAACTTCTTTTTGCAGCCCCCTACTAAAAAGGCACAGAACCACGAAAAACAAAGAACACAAACACCAAACAACGCGGGAAGCAATGACTGCTCTTTGGAGAAAAACTGTCGTTGGGAGGGGAACAAGTTGCTTTCTGCGGGAAACCCAGCCTGCGCAGGCACTCGCAAATACGTCGTTGTGGTAGATGTGGGCAAAAACCACCTTGGTTTCGAGCTGAAGTTGGGTAACCAACTGGGCGGCGTCTCAAGCGAATGGACTGAGAGAAAGGGGAAGGTTCTCGAGAAACTTTGCCACTTTGTCATCAACACGGGAGTTGTTCTGCCTTCAGCCCTACAAAGGAGTACCCTCACTTTTGTGCGCCAAAGTGGGAGGCAGTGCATGAAGAGAGTTGCAGCTCAAGTTCCTTCCCGGCGGATCCTGTAAAACGTGTGCCGGGAGACACACCTATTATTTTGGCCGAGCTTGAACAAACCAGCCAATGTGGTCCCTTTACCGGATCCTTTTTTTGGGAATAAGACTGGCATACAAATGTGTGGGAATCCTGCAGGTTTGCATTTTCTTTATAAAACAAATTCCCAAAAGGCGGTCTGACAAAAAACAGACCTGTCAAAATATATCGTATGGTTCCCTTGAACATCAAGCGACCCGTCTCAAAATGTCGAAACATGTGAGTAGCCCAAAATCCATTAACTTTCGGTTCGGGCAGCCCGACTAGAACCTCCACGAAGCTAGGTAGAAGCACCTACACCGGGCTTTGTGGAATCAGCTCGGCGCTGCTCACGTGGAAACCTTGAAGGGACCCACAAACTTCCCTCCAGCCCATGGGCCCACTGTGATTCAATTTTTTGGGGGGGCCAAAGAAGTTGCGGGCCGCCTTAATCTATGCCGTCGGCATAAGGGCTAAACTAAACGAGGGAGTTCGAGGAAGCCTCGGATCATCTTCAAATATCCCGCACAGAAGACCTGAGTAGCAACTATACCATGGCTTCCAATGTGTGTAGATTTGCCTTAGCATGTGTGGCTTTGAGGATGGGGAACGGGTGTCTCAGAGGGCCAAGAAGCGCGCAGGTACAGCCCACAGTTCACCGGCATCCAAACCCAAAGATGGGCTTAACTAGGCTTAACGATGCGATCGCACGAGCAGTCGGCTGTTCCACGGGGTTACGAGAGTTGCCACCTAGATGCTGCAGGTTGAGGGAAACCCAGTGTTTTGGGTTGGGAGCGCTACATGTAACCAATCAAAAAAAGGGGTTGTGGGCTCTGTTGGGATACTCCCAAGCGCACACCACTAACCGTTTGTTTCCCATGTTCGGATTTGGAGGCTTCGTCCTGGGTGCCTAAAGCTAAGTGAATATACCCTGATGTTGACCAAGAGGGTCTCCGGATTACTCCTAGTTGACTAGGTTGACGAACCCGGGGTCGTGCTCAGCAGGGAATGTGGTTTCCTTTAAGCGGACCCCTGGGTTCATTCCCACATTCAGATGGAGCCAGTTGATTGAGGTGCTGATTCACACCCGGAATGCAAAGCACCCTCTCATACCTAGAGCCACAGTCAAAACTTGGCTAGTGGCAGGCAACTCACCTTGTAAAGCACCACTTCTCTGGTTACCCAAATTGGCAAACCTGACTCGATCACTGCGGTCCTAAGACGGGAAAGTGGACCCAAAGCGGACCATCTTCTACAACCACGTTTCTGGGGCGAACATAACCATAATTATTCATCACCACAAGCCACACCCAAACTGGAACAAAAAAAACGAACAATCACAACACAAATAGCCAACACCGGAAGATCAAACAGAAACCAAAACGAAAAATTAGTCAACAAGCACAAAAAAAGAGAAACCAAAGGGAAAAAACAATCAACAACCACAAAATAGCCCACACCGGAAGACAAATTAGAAAGCGAAGGGAAAAACAATCAACAACAAGACAAATAACCAATACCGGAAGACCAAAGAGAAAACAAATGGAAACGAACAAACAACAACCACAACATAACCAACACCGGAAGACCAAAGAGAAACCAAAGGGGAAGAAACAATCAACAACCACAGAAACAGCCAACACCGGAAGACCAAAGAGAAACCAAAGGGAAAAACCAATCAACAGCCACAAACACAACCAACACCGGAAGACCAAAGAGAAACCAAGGGAATAAACAAATAACAACCACAACAACACCAACACCGGAAGACCAAAGAAAGGGACAAAAACAATCAACAACCACGAAATAACCAACACCGGAAGACCAAAGAGAAACCAAAGGGACAAAAACAAACAACAACAACAAAGTAACCAGCACCGGAAGAACAAAGAGAAACCACAGGGAAAACACAATCAACAACCACAAAAACAACCAACACCGGAAGACCAAAGAGAAACCAAAGGGAAAAACCAATCAACAGCCACAAAAACAACCAACACCGGAAGACCAAAGAGAAACCAAGGGAATAAAAAAAGAACAACCACAACAAAACCAACACCGGAAGACCAAAGAGAAACCAAAGACACAAACAAATAACAACCACAACACAACCAACACCGGAAGACCAAAGAGAAACCAAAGACAAAAACAATCAACAACCACAAAATAACCAACACCGGAAGACCAAAGAGAAACCAAAGGGACAAAAACAATCAACAACCACAAAAATATCCAACACCGGAAGACCAAAGAGAAACCAAAGGAACAAAAACAAGCAACAACCACAACATAACCAACACCGGAAGACCAAAGAGAAACCAAAGGGACAAAAACAATCAACAACCACAAAAATATCCAACACCGGAAGACCAAAGAGAAACCAAAGGAACAAAAACAAGCAACAACCACAACATAACCAACACCGGAAGACCAAAGAGAAACCAAAGGGACAAATACAATCTCCATTCACAAAAATAGCCAGCGCCGGAAGACAAACGAGAAACCAACGGGACAAAAACAATCAACAACCACAAAATACCCAACACCCACAGACCAAAGAGAAACCAAAGGGACAAAAGCAAACAACAACCAGAAAGAAAACAGCACCGGAAGAACAAAGAGAAACCACAGGGAAAACACAATCAACAACCACAAAAACAACCAACACCGGAAGACCAAAGAGAAACCAAAGGGAAAAACCAATCAACAGCCACAAACACAACCAACACCGGAAGACCAAAGAGAAACCAAGGGAATAAACAAATAACAACCACAACAACACCAACACCGGAAGACCAAAGAGAAACCAAAGATGAAAACAAATAACAACCACAACACAACCAACACCGGAAGCCCAAAGAGAAACCAAAGGGACAAACAAATCAACAACCACAAAATATCCAACATCGGACGACCAAAGAGAAACCAAAGACAAAAACAATCAACAATCACAAAAATATCCAACACCGGAAGACCAAAGAGAAACCAAAGGAACAAAAACTTACAACAACCACAACATAACCATCATCGGAAGACCAAAGAAAGGGACAAAAACAATCAACAACTACAAAAACAACCAACATCGGAAGACCAAAGAGAAATTACTTCGCTTCGAGCAATCCCCACCCTCCACACTCACGAGCTTACGACACAGCAAATTCCTCCGCCTTCTAGAGACCTCGACTCCAAATTCCCATCGGCCCATTTGGACATTACTGGGATAGGGTCGTACTTATAACTTGAGTTATAAGTTACTACAAGTGGACTTATAACGTGGGACAAGTGGACTTATAAGTTTGCTAAGTCCGAGTCCTAGTTATAAGTTACTTGTCCAGGGTTAACTTAGATAGGCCCACTTATAGGTTCGAGCTAAGTTCCGGGTGCCGGGACTTAGAATGAACTTAGCTGGAACTTAGTTTTTTTGCACCGTTTTAGGAAAACAGCTTTTTGGCATCCAGCGTTTGCGGAGCAATGCCCAAAACGAGTTTGCCTCGCTGAGTCTTGACGCGCGGCCTCATGCGAAAAAAACACGCGCGCTTTACTCCTGACGTGTCGCAGAGCACATCGCTGAACGCGAGTCCAAACCTTACACCGGGCGATGCGTGCGTATATTTTTTCGAATACGACAGGTCGGCATATCGCAGCGGCTGGTCGGCTCAGACTGCACTCGCGGCTGGCCCGCGCAGACGCCCAGCGGCTGGTCCGCTCAGACTGCACTCGCGGCTGGCCCGCGCAGACACCCAGCGGCTGGTCCGCTCAGACTGCACTCGCGGCTGGCCCGCGCAGACGCTCTGCGCTCACGGCTAGCCCGCGCAGACTCACATAGCGGCGGGCCCGCTCAGACTCATATAGCGGCGGGCCCGCTCAGATTGCACTCGCGGCTGGCTCGCGAAGATCCACAGCGGCGGGTCCGCTCGAACTGCAGTCAGAACCCAGATGCAGACAGACTGCAGACTCCAGACTCCAGACTGCAGACTCCACTCCAGAATCCAGCCTGCAGACTCCAGACTGCAGACTGCAGACTCCAGACTGCAGACTCCACACTGCAAGCTCCAGACTCCAGACTGCAAACTCCAGACTGCAGACTCCAGACTGCCAACTCCAGAATCCAGACTGCCAACTCCAGACTACAGACTGCAGACCCCAGACCGCAGGCTCCAGACTGCAAACTCCAGACTTCAGACTGCAGACTCCAGACTGCCAACTCCAGAAACAAGACTGCAGAGTCCAGACTGCAGACTGCAAACTCCAGACTGCAAGCTCCAGACTCCAGACTGCAGACTCCACAGACTCCAAACTGCCAACTCCAGAATCCAGACTGCAGACTCCAGACTGCCAACTCCAGACTCCAGACTGCAAACCGCAGACTCCAGACTCCAGACTGCAGACTGCAGACTGCCAACTCCAGACTCCACACTGCAGAGACCAGACTGCAGAATGCGGACTCCAGACTGCACTCCAGACTGCAGACTCGAGACTGCAGACTCCAGACTGCCAACTCCAGAATCCAGACTGCAGACTCCAGACTCGAGACTGCAGACTCCAGACTGCCAACTCCAGAATCCAGACTGCAGACTCCAGAGTCGAGATTCCAGACTCCAGACTCCACAATCCAGATTCCAGACTCCTGACTCCAGGATCCGGATCATTTTCTGGTGGAATTCGGCCACGGGGCCAAGGTAAGTTATGTTAAGTCGTGGTGACGCAACTGGGCCTGACGGGAAAAGTTTGGCGGTTAAGTTGGTTGAGTTACAATAGGGACTCCACGGCTCCA